AACCATCTCGATAACGCTCTTATTGTCAACTTCAACAGTAATCCGACGAGCATCGATGTCCTAGGCAAGAAGCAGGCCCTGGAATAAGCCCCAGAGCTCTGCTCCCACGATCGAGCAAAACTCGATATTCATCACAAACCCGTGCACCCAGTTCCCACAATGGTCACGAATAACGTCGCAGGCACTAGCCATTCCTGTCGACGGATCAAAACTCCCATCGGTATTGACTTTGAGCCCATCTACCGCCGGTCCCGACCACGAAATCCGCCGCCGCTCCCTAACACTACGTGCGCCGACTATATGACCCCCATCCGAGGCACATCGCGCCAAGTCCATGAAAGAGAAAATGATGAAATTCCAACAGAAATCCGTTCCAAAAGAATTATTCCAACGGATAATTTAATATTATTTCTGTTGGAATGAGTTTTCCATTGGAATTTCCGTTGGATTTTGACGATTCCAACGGTGGATTTTCCAACGGGGGTGGAAATAAAAATTTCAACAGAAATTCTTACGGTAAAAAAGTCGTTGGAATCATCAAATTTCATCTAGAATTCCAATGAAAAACACATTCCAACGAAATATTTCTGCTGGAATCTCCGTTATACCATTCAAACAAAAGCTATACCATTGGAATATCAGTTGAAATTTCTATTAGAATATATTAACATATGATTTTCCGTTGGAATATAACAATTTTTTTGTAGTGGTTGAAAAAATTCTAATGGAATTTCAGGTAACATAATCTATTTGTAATGTTGGTTTGAATGAATCAATCAATAATAATACATGTTTTTTCAAAATCAAGATCTAATTTATAGACGAGTATACCTTTCTTAACAACAGTAACCTCACGGGTCGGCAGATTTAACGGTTAGGTGGCCATACAGGTTTCAACCAATATGCGTACTTTAAAACTGAAACATCATATTCAAAAAACAACATACAAAAATATGACATTTCCCATTATAAATATGGATTTTTTTATTATAAAAAAGATGACGAATCAATATGCCTAACAATAAGACCGTCTCCCACTATAATTTGTATTTTTTTTACATAATATGCATTACTTCCATACAAGTGACACACTTTTAAAAGCATGACATTTTCACAATATAAGTGAATATTTTTGTTCAGAAAATATAACAGATCGAATTTGTGATTAGAAAAATAAAATAAAATAAAATTATTACACATTTTGCTTCTCAAGAAATATATATATAATATTTTTGTTCCAAACTCCAAACTCAAAACCTTTTTTTGTTCAAACCTGCCAAGGGCCTTCCAAAACAGCCTTTTTTTTTTTTTTTTTAACATTGGTTCTTATATAATTGGGAGTGAATCTTCATGCACTGGGCCCTTCTTTACACTTTATTTGCTTTAATACCCCCACAAAAATGCTCATACAAATAACCCAGTTTTTATAGCACTTGAGCAGCCTCACAATTTCCAAACAAATAAATAACCCTTCATTTTGTCCCTCTGCCCAAAAATAAACAAAGATAGAAGAAAAAAAAAAAATGTTCTGCTTAACTTATAGAGCCATTATATTTATACTCCTCTGTATTGGTTATTCGTTCATCCAACCGGATATCGTATTGGCTTCGAGAGGCACGAGTTTTCTTGTCAGTAAATCCGATACATTGCAAAAGCCAAACAAGTCCACTCCAATGAAGTTCGTTTCAAACCAATCGGAAAAACGAGCGGTTAAAGGAGGATCGGACCCTATTCATAACAGAAGTTGATTTATAGAGATTTTTTTTTTTTTTTTTTTTTAAGATTTGATTCATCAGAATATCTATATAGGTTTTGTTTTGCTATGATTGTTAAATTGTTTTTTTTTTTTTAATCAGTTTCATATATATAGACAGGTGATCAGAAATGCATGTTATAAGTACAATTTATCATAATATATACTTTCATATAAGAAATGATATTTGTTTTTGTGTTGTTTAATTTGCTTGAAAATTGTAATATTTTTATATATGTTGTGATGTGAACCATTTATTAACAACTAATAATCAATGTTTATATAAGTCAGTGTTATCTGAAGACTGATCACAAAAAAACTACAACTTATGGCTAACAAACGTATCAAACATTTTGTTGTACGATATAAATGAAGATCGATTTCTACATATTCGAAAACATTCCAAATGAAAAACTTGAAAAAAACTACTAAAGATATATATAATATTTACACTTTTTTCTGTTCTCCAAACAGATGACATCATATCATATATAGAGCTGTCAAAACGAGCCGGCCCGTAGCCTGCCATCTTGACGGGCCGGAGAAAAGCAGGCCCAGCCCCTGGCCCACGCGGGCTGCCTTGCTACTTGGCGGGCTTAGAAAATGCAGGCCCAAATCGCCCTATTACGGGGCGGGCGGGCCATTTTGACAACTCTAATCATATATAGAGAAAGTTTAGGAGTTAAAAGAAAAAATACAATTCTATATTTTTTTTTGAGGTCCTTAATTCTAATTCAGAACAAATCAGCAGTTCGTCCCAAGGCCTGTCTCCATGAAATTCCCATCCTGCCCTTGTGCAGCCGCCTCATCAAACAGCCATTTTTCCAGCAGGCAAAGGGGCATTTCAGTTATTTTCCCCTCATGATCTTCGACAAGCCCATTTTCATGTGCACTAGTCAAACTTGCAACTACATCTTGGTCAATCTCCGAAGTCAAAGCGTTGAGCCCCGCAAAAGTGAAATTACTCATTTGCCCCTCACTTGGGCTAGACTTCGGGCCCGTCGATGAAGGGTTACTATCGGCCGAGCCCAGACGAGAAACTTTATCCGAGGACTTTTTCGTCCAATTATCGAGCAAAAGAGCGATGTTTTCGGCGCTAGATGCGTATATTGGGCTGGCAATTTGTGGGGCAGTGGGCTTGGGATTTGGGCCTGATGGTTTATCTAGTGAAAGGGCCTCGCGCAAGGCCTGTTTGGCTGTTTGGATATCTGTTTGAAGCCTTCTTTCCCATTGGCCCTTTGAGGGTGGCCGAGAATTAGTGATGTCTGATGAATTTCCATTTTCCTCATTAATTTTATAATGGGCTTTTGCCATCTTCTTCTTCAAGTGTGTGTTCCAGTAGTTTTTGATATCATTGTCTGTTCTTTGAGGGAGGTATGATGCTATGGCGGCCCACCTTAAAAAAAACAATTTTTTATAATTGTATAAAAGGGAAATGTTATGGTCCCTTTACGGAATCATTCTGTCGGAGTTCGTAACCGTTAGATCAACTATCCCTGACGGTTATATGATGATCTAACGGTTATAAACCCGACGGAATGATTCTGTAACGGACCGTAGCATCTCCCAGAAAATACTACGGTCTTTTACAGAACCATTCCATCGGAGTTTGTAACCGTTACAATGCTTAAATTTTTCTTTGATTGAAATATGATAATATTTTTATTTTTTAAGTATGATATTTAAGAATGAAAATATGTAGATATATTAAAAAAATATGATAGTCTAAACATTATTAGGACTAACACAACATTACCACTTTAAATAACTTAAATTAAATTGTAAAAAACAAGTTCCTAAAAATAAAATTTGAATAATATAATACTTGAATTATTCGAAAACAATATACCTATTGCCAAGAAGTGCTTGGAGGTGGATAATCATCTTCTCCTCTTGTTCAGTGAAATTCCCGAGTTTGATCCCCGGCCGGAGGTAATTCGTCCACCGGAGCCGGCAACTCTTGCTGCATCTAAGCAAGCCTGAAATTGAGAAAATGAAAAATCAATAATAAAAAAAATTAATTAATTAATTAAATTGACAGGACAAAATAAATGACTTTTCATATGCATTCAGGTAGCAGTGATAATTGATAAAGTTGGGGTAATCTATATATTTATTAATAAAAAAATAGTAAGTGGACAAAAAACAAAAAGAAAAAGGGGGGAGTGGACCAAAATAAAAACACGTATTCACTAAATACGTTTTCTTTACAATTTCACTGTAAAACGTATTCAAGGAATACGTTTTTCACATTTTTTTTACAAAAGAAAACGTATTCACGGAATATATTTTACAATTAAAAATTGCAGAAAACGTATTCACTGAATACGTGCTTTTCATTTCTTTCCACTCCCACTTTTTCCTATATTTTTTTGTCTGCAAGTTAAGTTTTGATTTTTTTTTTGTAAAAAAATCGATAAAGTTGTCTAGCCTCGCCGTTCAATATTTATTACACCGCTTTCAATACGATTTTAAACTTGTTACCAAAAAAAAAAAATAAATAAATAAAAAATAAAAAAATTGATGTTTAGCTAGTTAATTATATTTTCTAATTTTATTTATAACTGCAAAAAATATCTATTAAAATATAATTAGGTAGCTATATTAAGCAGCTTAGGATGTGTTTGTTCATAAATAAATTCAATTCATATTTAAAATTTAACTCACTTTTAATCCAGTTCACTATATCTCAATATTATCAATATAACTGAATAATATTCATCATTCTGAATATATCAAATCGACTCTATTTTACTATTCATTCACTCACGTAATTATAACTAATCATCACTTCACATTTTCTCTAACATACATTTCCATCAAATCCTCTCTATATATAATTCCAGAATGCATTGAGCCTACGTGGCTGCTTCTGGTGCTTCGGAATCCTATTTGGCGAAAAATCATGCTTCGTAATTAGGTTTGGATGAATAATATTGATATATTAATAATTAATTAATAATCTAGGTTCGGGTATTCCATAAATATTATTTAGCCAACTTAGGTATTTTAATATCACTTTTACTAATATAACCCTTTAATTTTTTGTAATTTTACATAGTGAGGCACTAAGTGACTAATATATCCCTGAATTTTGATTTGTTTCCTTCAATAAGCTATTAAATTATAAATGTATTTTAAAAGTTGATAACTTTTGTATTTCTTATCGGTTATACATATATAATATATCAAATTAATCATCTTTTGATGATCTTCGATTTGACATCCATATTGTATATGTGAAATAAATAAATTATATTTATTTTTATAATAAAAAAAAAAAATTTATTAAAATTCATTAGAAAAATAAAATTATTTCTCAATTGATATATTTATATGTAATGTAATTATATATTGTAAGTTAAAAAAAAATTAGTATAATGTAACACAAGTAAGTCGCACAAATAAAAATGTCATAATAAATATATAATAATATATATATTCTTATAAGAGTTATTTGAATTTTCAAACTACTGTTTTCTTATTAATTTTAGATTTAAAAAAAAAAAACTAGCAAGCACCCGTGTAATACACGGGTGTTGTACTAGTCAACTTTAATTATTGATTTTAAATACTATTTTAATATAAAATTAAAGTTACACTACCAACTAACCATACAACATTTCAAAAAAACCAATGATTAGCAAAAAAATAAATAAATAAATAAAATTTTGAACGGATATATTTGTATATAATAATAGCAATTAAAAATGAATTAAACTTTTGTTTAGAAATGATTAAAAAAAGTACAAAAAAAACTTTTGGTCACCTGTGTTAGAAGGGACAGCTCTCCAGTTCCCAGGGCCATGTTCTTGAATGTATGAAACTAAGATAATATCTTCCTCAGGAGTCCATGGACCTTTTTTCACCCCATTTTTTTCACAGCAAGCTGGTAATCTCCCCATTTAAAAAAAAAAAAGTAAAAAAAAATAAAAAATAAAATAAAAAATAAAATAAAATTAGAGAAGAAGGTTGAAAAAATTGTTCTTCTAAAGGGTTCTTAATTTTATTTATTATCTTTTTTCTTTAATTTTTTCTTTTCTAGTTGGGGTTTAGAATTGAGCAGAGACTATGGAGAGTGTGTAAGGATTTGTGTAAGATTGAAGATATATAGGGGAAAATGTTTGAGAGTTGAGGATATATATTGTGTTGTAATATATATAGAGAAGATATGATAGGCTTTGACTTGACTATATAGAATAAAAGTTGGTAAATGGGCTACTTTATAAAATTAAGGTTTTTTAATAGTTTGGGAGTTTACTTTTCTAATATTTAGATATTTATTTTATTTTAAATTGAATACTATATATTATATTAAGTAAATGAGAATAGACTACAAACTTCATGAAAGCTAAATCTGCAGGTAAATTAAAAGATCTAAGGCATTTTCAATGGTAATAGTTATTACTAGCTATATGGTCAGCTGACGTGGATGTGAGAGATAAGAAAAATAACTATTTTGTACTATTGGATCCACGTACTCCTCTCACATAATCTTGGGCTACGTGAAATAGATAAACTATTTGTTAATAGCTAGTGACTACTCTCTCTTACTTTTCCTATGTTCACGTCATAATAGTTAGTCAAATAGCCAACCATTGGAGACGCCCTAATACAGTTTAATATGACAAAGATGTTAAAAGACCCTTTCTCGATTTATGCGTGATTCTAATTATTTTATTCTATTTCTTTTAGTTATTTTATGTTTTTTTCTTCAGAAATAAATTAATGACTTGTATAGATACTTTTTATATTATAAGAGATTAGGGTTCTTTAGGTTTTGTAATTGTATTTTCACCTTTTTTGGTATTTTTATTATTTTTTCATGTTTAATTATTTATTATGTGAAAGTATAACTTTTTAAGATTTTTTTTTATTTTGAATTATATTTTATTTTTTTAAAAAAAAATTGAGACTTTTTAAAAATTTCATCTTTTTAAAAATTTCATATTTCAATGAAATTCTACAAATCTCATTTCTGAAATTGAGATTTGAAATGAGATTTCATATATATAAATATTTTTTTCTTAAAATTCAAAAAAAAAAAAATACATTCTCAAATAAGTTAAATACTTCATTATTTTTTTAAGTTGTTTTTGAAATTTTAAATTAATATTTGAGACTTTTAAAACTCTTAAAAAATTAAATTAACTGCACTATAATTTCTAATTTTTTTTTTTTAAAAAAAAAACGTTCAAAATTTCAGACAATGCATCCCTTTAGTTTGATCGAGAAATAATTTTAACTCCAAAGCGTGTAACAACTTTTCTCTTGTGTAATAATGGTTGTCTTTATTTACTACGTTAATGCTTAATTTTATTGAATGTTGGACCACTTTACTTTGAAGATTGAAGTCTCCATAATTTGAAAATGATAGTAGTAGTACGAAGATGTTACGGTCTCGTTACGAAATTATTTTATTGAGATTTTTAACAATTAGATCAACTATATTTGACTATTACATGATGATCTAACAGTTGCAAAACTCGACAGAACGATTCCATAACGAACTTTTAACGTTTCCTGTATAATACATTTATTAGTGCAATAATCATCGTGTCTTGCCAAATTTTGATAATGACAACTTCTTAAAAAATTATTAAAATTAAATTTCATTGCGTAATTTGTCAAAGTGTAGGGCCATTTAGATGTACCACGTGCGCGGCAAGTTGAACAACACATGTCAATTTTATTCTTTTACAATGGACACGTACACAAATAGCAAATAGGACACAAGTTGGGATAGCAAAACAAACATTAATTTTTTTATAGGAGAAGATCAAAATAATATTAATAAATAGAAGAGAATTAGTAGATAAACCTTATAATACACAGAGCATTAAAAAAATATGAATGCTACATACAACACCAAAATTAACTAACAATGTAAACAAATACTCCACAAGGAAAATTAAAGACTCACAAAAGAAGATTGTTTACAACAATACATTACAAAATAAGGGAAAACAAATAAAAAGGAACACTAATTTAAAATAAAAAATATATTGCGGATTACTTGTTAGATTGTTGTTATCGGGTCGACGACTCGGTAGCAACGGAGTGTCAGACAGAAAAAAAGGAGAGTTTTACTCTATTTATTTTGTGTTTGTGTTGTTTTAGTTACAGTTCACTACAAAAAAATCTCTTACATTCTAACGGAAATTTTCCGTTGGAATTCTTTATATATCCGTTGGAATAGGTATTCCAACGGATATTCCTACGTATAAAAATTCGTAGGAAAAATGGCCGTTGGAATAGCTAAAATCCAACGGAAAATCCTATGGAAATTAATTCCTACAGCTATTCCAACGGAAAAAATCCGTTGGAATTTCTCAACCATCCAACACTTTTTCCAACATAAAATTAATTTTGTTGGAATATTCATTGGAATTTCCAATGAAATTTTTCTGTTGGAATTTTTCGTTGGAATTGAAGTGTTTTCTTGTAGTGGTTTGTTTATTTTGTTGTTTTTTATGTTTTGTCTTTGGGTCTCCCTTGAGGAGTGTATGTGTTTTCCATTTGGGGATTGATTATGTTACCTAGTATGCGAGTGTTGTTTCTAGTGTGAACACGATTATTACTAATCAAGTTTAAACAAATCGAGCATTTACCTCTTTCATGAAACGAGTCGAGTCAAGAAGATTCAATTATTAAAAGAGCATGAACACAAGCTCGAATACAATGTAGTTTAACCTAACTCTAACAATACTCCTAATCAATCATATTAAGCTTAGATGTTACTAATTACTCATATTTTTACTTGTCAAATTAATTATTTGGTTACAATTACTATACATTTAACATATATTATACTTGAGAATTAGTTTCAATGTTATTATTCAATTTATATACGAAATATTTTATTTGTATTTAAAAATTTCATTTTGTTAATCAAAAGTACTTTTATGTTTAATCAATTTACTATGAGAAAATGATAAAACTCAAACGAAAATATATTCTTTTCATACTTTATTCTTTGGAATGAATTTGCACTGAAATTTTTAAGGATTCCTACCACAGTTTTTTCAACAGTTGAAACAACATAAAAATTTCAACAAAAACTCGTACGGCAATAAACAATTAGATAAGCGGTTGTTTTAATCAACAAATTACAACTAAAATTCAAATGAAATATTCTGTTAGAATTTCTCTTGAAAGTTGTACCATTAGAATACTCAGTTGAAATTTTTACTAAAATAATTCACCGTTGGATTTGTCATATCAATATGTTAGATATTTTTTTTTTGTAGTGATAATCCCCCTTATCACAATCCATATTTTCACATGCATTTTCATTTTATAAATCATTATTTATATAATTAATAGTAATAGGTTTTCACTTGTTCAAAACAAGAAAATTATGTTTTTCTTTGCAAATCAATCACATTTATTGAGATTGTATAAGAGTTTGACACGTGTAAGGGGTCAAAAGGCCCCACAAGGCGACAAGCCATTGAATGCCCGATGTGAATCAGAGGGGGAGATGGTGTTGACTTTGAGCGCCAATTATAAGACATCAAATTAGCTTAGCGTATCAAAATAAAAGGTCAAAAGTTTCGGAGGTACTGTCGTTTAGTTCCTTTTCATGTGCCACCAAATGATCTTCCACGGTCCGGCCAGTCCCGGACCCGACCCGGCCCATAGGTTGCCCGTTCTGAGAATCGGCACCTTGACTTTACGAGTTGTCTCCCGGGTCCTTTTTTTTGGGCCATGGTGGTCCGGGTCTGGGCCGGGACA